AGTTTATAAAATTCGAGTATAGTTAAATTTTTGTTTCTTTTTAAATTTAATTGTAAATATTTATAATATTATAATATTATTTGATTTCAATTATATATGATATACATATATCATACAGAATAGAGTAACACGACTCAAACTTGAAAATCAATCAACTAATTACTAAAAATTTTGAGTTATTTGAGTTACTATTTGAATTATTCGAGTTGTATTTTACAACTCGATTTGAACTTGAAATTTTTCGAATCGAATCGAGTTTCTAAAATTACATCTCAAAATCAATTCAATTATTATTTTTAAATCAAATCCAAAAAAAAAATTACGATTCAAGTTAAATTTTTCTTAATCTTGTCCTCACTCACCTACTTGAGTCCACCCCTACTCAAGATTTGGTAGAAGATGTCATCATGCACACGTGTGGCCCGTGAAATGACCATCATTTCCAAAATTGTAACAAAAATACCATTGAACTATTTAAATGGATCAAAATGGTCACACGACGTTAACATTTAACGGAGGTGTTTGCGCGGTAGTTAAAAATCGGTATAATTAGGGCACAAGTCCTTGTAAAGTTACATATTCGTAGCGCTGACACTCCACTTTGTTTTCTTCCATTTTGGTCACTACTTTTATATGATTTGTTCCCTTGGATTTTCATTTAATCCAAATTGATATTGATTTTGTTTTTAATTTGTCTAAGACCTTAATTTGAACATTAACTTTAAAATCTTTTATTCTAGTTATGTATTAAATTTATATATTAAATCCCCTATATTTTAGAATTAATCAATTTGATCACCAAGATTAATTTTAATTCTTAATTTTTAATTAGGTTCTAATTTCATTTTAATATAACAAAATGTTGTTTAATCGCGTACCCGCATACCTAGTACCTGTTTTATTATATATATATATATGTATATATATAAATATATATAATATTTTTATTTTTATATTATATTAAATTTTTATTTATAATTATCATATTATTTCACTCTAACATTCTAAATTCCTAATTTCTTAAAATTTGCCACCATAACATTCTAAATTCTTAATTTCTTAAATTATTTCACATTAACATTCTAAATTATTTTTAAAATATTTATTTTAACTTTGAAACATTTGAAATTTAATTATATTTTTTGTTTTAATTTTTAATAATTTTTTTAATCATGTAACTTGATTTTTTAAACTTTATGTGTGAATTATATATTATAACCTTTAAATTTTAAATTTTAGATTTTTTCTATATATTTTTTTAAAATAATGTAATTCTAAAAAATAAAAAATTATAAACCAGGTACCCGTGACCCGAAAATATTGGTACCTGAGTTTTACGGGTACCCGAATGTAATGGGTCGGGACACTGACCAAAATTTTTATGCTCGAAAATTCTGAGTACCCGTTATTTCGGATACCCGGTTTTGAGCACCCCTAGTGGTAGGACTTTTAAAGTGTAAAGAGAGTGACTAAACTATAAAACGTACAAAAGATAAGGACTTAGATATGAGAAAATATGGCATTTGTCAAGCGAATAAAATATGAATTCAAACATACTTTCACAATCATCTTCTTCCTCTGGTATACGTACTTTGATATACATGAGTTCGCGACTTATGCTGGGGAGTACTGGGGAACTGAGATAATTTTTATTAATTATGAACTTATTGTGATGAATGCCATGGAGATATAATTGACATAATATAGTTAATAAATAATATGATATAATTAATGTTTCATATTATTAAGTTAATTGAGAATATGACAACACTTAAATCACTAAAATAAATATAATAATTTATTTATAATTGATTTAAGATTTTAATATTTTTGAATTAAATTTATAGTTTTCATATTTATGTTTTAATGATTATATATATATATATATGAAATCATTAAAAAATAATTTAAATATTCAAATTACAATATATATTATATTATAATTAATGATAAAAAATATATATTATATATTATAGTTAATATTCAAATTCTAATAATAAGATTGTGACATGTGTCACAATTTGATTAGAGAAAATAAATTTATTTAGTTTAATTGAAATTAAGACCTAATTAAAATTTAAAAATTAAAGTTAATCTTGGTGATCAAATTGATTAATTCTAAAATCTAGGGGATTTAATCTACAAGTTTAATACATGACTAGAATAAAAGATTTTAAAGTTAATGCTCAAATTAAGACATTAGACTAGGGATGGCAGCGGGCCGGGTTCTGGTCGGGTATTGGTCCCCCGTCCCCGTCCCTGTTTAAAAAACTCATACCCGTCCCCGCTTAAAAAACCGCGGGGATTTAAACGGGGATCCCCATCAGGTAATCAGGGAAAACCGTGGGGAAACGGGTATCTCCGTTTAGCATAAACGGTTATTTAAACGGGTATCGGGTCGGGTATATATATATTTAAATTAAATATATAAATATTATATATATTTTTTAATTTATATTAAATTTATTAATATTATATATATATATAATAATAATAATTATTTTTAATATTTATCGGGACGGGTATCGGGTTGGTATCGGGCCGGGTAATCTGGTAATCGGGTAATTGAGGCGGGGATTACCAAACCCGTCCCCGTTTAGCATAAATAGTTTTTTCTCGTCCCCGTCCCCGTTTAGCATAAACGGTTTTCCCGTCCCCGTTTAATTCGGTTTTCAGTTTTCCCCGTTGGGTTCGGGTTTTTTTGCCATCCCTACATTAGACAAATTAAAAATAAAATCAGGATCAAATTGGATTAAATAAAAATCAATGAAACAAATCATATACAAGTAGTGACCAAAATGGAAGAAAACAAAGCACGGTACTAGCGTCGCAAATACGTAGCTTTACAATGACTCGCGCTCTAATTATACCGATTTTTTTAACTACCACGTAAATACCTCGTTAAATGTTAACGTCGTGTGGCTATTTTAAACCCATTTAAATAGTTCAACGGTACATTTGTCACAATTTTGAAAATGGTGGGCATTTCGCGATCTGACTCATAGTTATATGGTCATTTATGTAGTTTACCCTAAAATTAAATATAATTGTCAAAGATATGATATCAAAATTGGACCACATTGACATGGTCTTGAAAGCAACAAAAAGGAAAATTCGAGTATGAAAGACGAAATTGTTTTTCATATTTAATTCCCATTATAAATAAATAAAGATCGCTGGTGGCAATATATAATTCCATCCGTTTGTAAGTTTCGATGAGCCTACGATGGAGTCTTAGGAGAGTAAAACTTAATCTATCCAAGAGACGTGTATTAGTATTAATATATCAACAATACCACAGCAACAATGATTGCTTTAATATTTTTCTTATTCTCAAGATTTTTCTTAAATATGTTATACATATAGTTTTAATAAATAAATTGTGTAGATTTAAATTTATATAAATGTAACCTTAAATTTTAAAAGTTAAGATCTTAAATTATAAATCCTAAACTCTAAATTTTAGCACGAATCGAGCGACTTCAGTAGTAAAGGAGTTATTGTTATTCTTTGAGGTATGAAGTTCGAGCACCAAGAATGTTAAGGGTTGAATGTTCAATATCAAATGGTTTAGAGTTATCTTTAAATAGATATTGTTTGTAAGTTAAATAAAATGAGTATGAACATATTTTTATGTTTATTTAATAAATGAATGAACACAAACATAGATGTGTACAGTTCGTTTATGTTCACAAAAAAAGCTTGTTTGAAAAGTTCATTTATTGACTTGTATAGAAGCTCATTTACTCGGTTCTCCTTTTCGTTTATAAGTAGGGACTAAGATGAACACAAGCTGAACTTTGGAGTTCAAACTATGAAGTCTAATGAATTTAAGGAGAAGTGTCGTAGTTTCATCAACTTTCTTAATATATAAATCAACTTATTTATCAACGTTAAACTAACATATTCACGAATGCTAAATGAATATATTGATGAACATATTTATGAATGCTAAACGAATCAAATACAATAAAGTTTAAAAATAAACAAACGAACACATTATTAAAAATTTAAACAAATATGAACACCTTAATAAATAAATAAATAAATAAATACGAACACAACCTTATTTATTCAAATCTGATCCATTTACATTGCTAAACCTATATATTTAAATCATTATGAATTTGAGAGTAAAAAATAATCAAAGCGATATCAACATAAAATAAGACAAAGGAGACAGGATTTAACGTGGTTCAACCTTGTTTACCTTCACGGGTAAGATAAACAACAATTCACTATAAACATAGAGAAAACGAAGAGTACAAATATATTATATCACATATATCTCAAAACCCGATATATATACTAAAATCTGATATATCTCAAAACACTATTCTAATATCCTTACAAAACTATCTCTATAAACCCCAAAAGTTACAAATATCCCAAAAATAATTACATCTCTCTAAAATAATTAGCAGTCACTTAAACACAACTTCATTTATAGAGCCAAATACTTAGTCACTAAGAATTCTTTTTCCATAAGAATTATGGTCTAAAATAAATATATTTTATTAAATAAACCTAACTTCCAAATAATCTTTAACTACTAAAATTACAATAAAATCTAACTTAATTATTAGTTATAATTTAAATAAAAATATAACAAAATTAGCTGACTAGCCTATTCCCATATATAATGGGGGTAAAGGGGAGGTAGGATAGTAGGCTGCCCTAACGCCAGATTGAGAGCAACTTCCGTATAAGACTTCCGTTATGAATTGCCTTCAGTGGGACTCAATCCCATGACCACAAATTAAGAGCCTTGTGGTCTACCAACTGAGCTACACATACAATTCTAGATTTAAACATAAACTCTAAATTCTAACCACTCAAACCTAAACTCATGAGCCTTAAGTTTTAACCGAAACATGTTACACTAAAATTAATAAATTTATATAAATTAAAAATTTACATAAGTGATGTATACCGTTTTCCTCTCTCTCTATCTATATATATATATATATATATATCCCGTCCTTCGTGATTAGAAATAACCTAAAAGATGAAGCTGGAAGTTGAAGTTGTATTCAAAGAAATGATTAAGCCATCTTCCCCAACCCCTCATGAACTTGGTCATCACCAACTCTCCTCGATCGATCAAGAAGTGGCTCCTGTTTACAACCATCTGGTCTTGTTCTACCCGACCAAACCTAATGTCCAAACCAACAACATCAGCATCCCCGATCTCCACCACTTCAAACTGTCCGTATCCCAAGCTCTAACCCACTTCCATCCCCTAGCGGGACGCATCAGAAACAACTCCTTCGTCGACTGCAACGATGAAGGAGTTCCCTTTAAAGGAGCCAAAGTCAGGTGCCGACTATCGGATTTCTTACACGATCCCGTTCCCGAAGAACTCAACAAGTTGTTCCCTTTCCCTCTCGATGATGCTGCGGAATTGCCGATGGGAATCCAGTTCAACGCTTTCGATTGCGGTGGAATCGGGATCGGTTTGTGTGTTTCTCACAAGATCGGCGACGCGTCATCGTATTTCACGTTTTTGAATACATGGGCAGCGATTTCTCGTGGGGACGATAAGAACGTAGTTAAACCCGAGTTTGTATCGGATAAGCTTTTTCCGGCACGGAACTCGTCGCCGCCTGAACCGTGGTTGGCGCCGACAAGTGAAAAGAACGTAGACACGAAGAGGGTGGTATTTACTTCGTCTAAAATAGAGGAAATCAGAGCAAAATATGCAGCTGAAAATGGAATCCACCCTTCACGTATCGAGGCCTTATCATCTTTCATATGGACTCGTTTCGTCGCTTCCACTAAAGAGAAACCAGCCCAGGATGAGTTCTATGTGATTCTTCATACCGTTAATTTACGCACAAGATTTGAGCCGCCGCTTTCAGCTCAGTCTTTTGGGAACATTTTTCACCTTGCAAGAACAGTTCCTTCCATGGAAAAAGAAAATGACGGTGGATCATATAATCTGGTCAGCCAAATGAGAGAATCCATCAGAAAAATCGACAAAGATTACGTGAGGAAGCTTCGGGTTGGTGAAAGTGGTTCCTTTAAGGGAAAGACTATCCCTTTTATCTTCACTAGTTTATGCAGGTTTCCACTGTACGAAGCTGATTTTGGTTGGGGGGAACCAGTATGGGTAAGTTCTGCAAATCTGGGCACCAGGAATCTGGTTGTTTTCATGGATACTGCAAATGGTGATGGAATAGAAGCTTGGATTCATCTCAATGAGGGAGACATGGTCGAATTTGGAAGCAATGAAGAATTGCTTAACATAGTTTAAAAGCTGTCTAAATGTGATAAAACGTTTAATTTAACGAAAACATTGGTCCCATATACCTGTTGATTTGTTGTAAAATGTTTTATCTATCTGGAATATGGTTTCTTTTCATAAACATTGCTTACCTATGGGGTGAACGATTGATGAAAATACATTAAAATGTCTGATTTTATTTCTGGTTCAATCTTGATTTTGACCTAACTTCTGTTCATCGCTGCTTCCACCATCGTCAATCATCATTATATCGCTCTTTTCACATGACACGTCAACAATATCATTATTCTTTTAATAATAAAATACTAAAATAAATATAAAATATAAAATTATATATGAATCCATTAGCATTAATCTGGGTTCAGTTTGTTGAGTCTTGGTTTCCACTGTGATTATTGATTTTGGTTGTTCAAGAATCTTTACATATTTTGTGATTTTTATCATGGAAAAGACAAGGCTTTTATGGCTGAGGTGCTGAACAGGACAGCATAACAAGACAACCAACATGGAACACAGAGGTGCTGAATTGTGCAACCGACAAAGTGGGGAATCATTTTCTCAATAAGAATTGGGACAATCAAGTGGATCAGAGCGATCCCTTTGAGCCAGCATTGAGTTCCATGGTGTCTTCTCCGGCAGCTTCCAATGTCCCTGTTTCCGGGGAGAATGTAATGATGAGGGAATTGATTGCGAAATTGGGGAACATATGTAATTCTGGTGATGCTTCTTGTTATAATACTTCATTGATCTTTTGTAAGGGTAATGCTGACTCTATTATGGGTGTCTTAAGTGTTCTTAGATCTTTTTTATGAAATCTCTGGGCTCCATCTAAATGCCTCCAAATGTGAAATATTTTCTGCTGGTTGTTCTCTAAGATCAATGGATTTATTTCAATAGATTTCTGGTTTCAAAAAAGGCAGCTTACCTGTGAGATACTTATTCATCTTGTTACTCGTAAACTTACTGAGAAGGATTGTGTCGTGCTTATTGAAAAAATTAAACAGAGGCTTCACCATTGGTCTGCTAGAAATCTGAGCTACGCTGGAAGACTAGAATTAATCCGCTCTGTCCTTTTCAGCGTCTTGAACTATTGGTATAGACAGCTTATCCTTCCTAATTCTATTCTTGCCAAAGTGGACCAACTCTGCTCCAGATTTTTCTGGAAAGGTGACGATAAGCCTGCCAAAGGTGCTCGAGTAAGCTGGGATTTTATCTGCTTCTCTAAAGTTGAAGGTGGCATTGGCCTAAAGAACACTAAAATCTGGAACAAAGCATGTTCTATTGATCTTATTAGGAAAATCTTAGCGGGTCATGGCTCGCTTTGGGTTGCTTGGTTAAAAACTTATGTTTTCAAAGATCCAGATTTTTGGAATTTTGTTGCAGGTTCTAATGTGAGCTGGAGTATTAATAGACTTCTTAAATTGTGTCCTACTGACTCATCATCTTCTCCTTATCAAGTTCTCTTAGGTTAAGAGATATTTGGGAATCAATCCGAATCAAAAGGGAGAAAGTTCCTTGGCAGAATCTAATTTGGTTTCCAATGCACTTTCCTAAATTCAGTTTGATTGCTTGGATGTCTTTGTTAAACAGATTACCAACTAGAGATCGGCTACTCAAAATGGGAATTTCAACAGAAGGGACCTGTGTTAACTGCAAAGACGATCAAGAAACAAGAAACCATATTTTCTGCCAATGCACTCTTGCTGTTCGACTTTGGAGCTCCGTCCTATCGCTTAATGGCTTGAAGAATACTTCCTCAACTTGGGAAGAAATGGTTAATCGGGCTTCTTTAACTTGGAAAGGGAAATCCTTACTCATCACAATTCTGAAGATTTCTTGGACAACCTATATTTACACATTGTGGGAGGAAAGAAATCATAGAATCTTCCAAGGTCGTCAAAGATCTTGTAACCCCCAGACCCGGTCTGTAAGTTAAACCCAAACCTAAGTGGTCACATATCCCATTCAGAGATTTTTTTTCTTACAATACATTATATTAATACAAACCAAAATATTAATAATACGAATATATCCAAAACGATAGCAAATACATGTCACCAGATACAACTGAAAACATGTAGAGATATATGTTCGTACAAAATAAGTAGTTGATCTCCCCGGATGCCAAATCTGCTAACTTACGGTCTGCTGTTATCTGAAAAAGGGTAAAAACTATAGAATGAGCTAAAAAGCTCAGTGTGCTCCATACAATGTATAAAAACATATTAACAAAATATTTTAATAAAATTTGTTTATGCAATATGTTTTGAAAACATGAACACTACCCCCATCATTTCATAATCTGTTTGTGTAGGTTCCCCAGAACCATACACCCCGCACAACCAGTAAGGCCCTGAGCACACAGCCGAGGAGCCTGCAGATAATCTCCCTCCAATAATATTCCCCCCAATGATAATAATGAACATGAATGTATGCGCGTAAAACAATGAATAATTCTTTAAAAACATAAGAATGTTTCAAGCTTGAAAACCATAAACATAAATACATAAATCAAAAATCAAATCAGTAATGTATAGTAATTCAGATGTTGGGTAATCAGTATTCAGAAAACGGTATAAAATACCGTAACCAGAAATCATATCAGAAATATACAGTAAATCAAAAATCAGATACACAGTATTCAGATATTTATATACTTTAAAACAGTAATATAACACTATCAGGAAACACACCTGTAACAGTATGAGAAATCAGATAGGGAAGCCTATCACTGGGTTTGTCGATCACGCTCTGTTGCAGCGCTAGATCCTACGAATTGGAAAAATTCATATTAGAATCCTAATATAAATAATCTTTATTTAAATAATCTACGGAAACCTACGGGTAATTCTTGTAGTACGCGATTCAAGCTGATCTGACGAACGAACAACTCCAGACCTAACTGATCCTCGTTCAGGTGAAACACGGATACCTTCATAAAATTTTTTACTGAATAAATTCCTTAACCAATTCTCAAATAAATAATCAAAATACTAAAATACTAAGCCTTTTTGGGTTCACATGCTTGATTCGGAGATTTCGGGTCAAAATTTGACAAAACGGACTTCAGAATCAGATTCAGGACGTCGAAAAACATAAAGTATGACCTTCCGAAATTCTGAATTCTTGGTCAAAATCAAAGTCAACGGGTTTGACTGATGATTCGAAGACTTTTGGGTATGAATTTTGTGAAACCTACCTCAAAAACGGATTCGGGACGTCGAAAAATGTCAGGATAAGTATTCTCGGAAAAGATTAACGGTTGTTTAATGGTCGGTCAAAGCCGGTCAAAGTTTGGTCAAAGGAGGTCAACAAACTGTCAACCATTTTACAAAAATAACACTTTTTAAATAATTACCAAAATAGCACTCTTTTTGAATTAATTCCCAAAATAGCACTTTTTTGAATTAAATTCCCAAAATAGCACTTTTGAATTAAATTCCAAAACTATCACCATTTTTAATTTAAATTCCCAAAATAGCACCCATTTCGAATTAATTCCCAAAATGTCACCCGGTCAACGGTAAACGGTCAACGGGTCGGGTCGGAACAGGTCAAACCAGTCAAACCCATTGAAAAACCGGTTAAACCGCTCATTTTAGCCTTCCCTACGCCTAGTGGCAGCGCGTGGGGGCTCTCCTGGCTGCGTAAAATTCACGGAAAAATTTCTAAAAATTATTTTGAGTGATTTCGAGATACTTACAAAGATCGGTTCAAATTTTTGAACGGCGGAGAGCTCGGTTTCATCAAATCGGAAACTTTGACCGCTTTAACACCACAAGTGCCGCCGTCGCCGGAGAAAAAAGAGGACACCAGTGGACTCGGAACGACACAAGGAACACGATGGTGCCGGATGTGTCATAAACGGAGCAACGATCGGCTATGAATTTAAGATTTTCTCGGCGATTGAGCTAAAAAAACGTCGAGGCTTTGACTGGAAATTCCCGGCGTTTGGCAGCGTTTCACTTCAATTAATTTAAGGGAATTGTTCCTCACTCGATAACGAACACGATGGTGGTTTCAAAACGATGATCGGAATTCGGACGGCGTCGGGATCGTGGTTGGAAAATGGGCTCTGGGAAGGGAATTTGGGATGAATTGGTTTCTAATTTTCAGAAACCAATTCACGCATATAATACCACATACTTAACATTTTAGGGTAAATTCATGGTTTGGTCCCTGAATTTCTTTTAACTCTAAAACAAGCTACGAATTTTTAAAATCTTTCAATTTAGTCCCCTAATTTCACCAAATTACTTAATTAAATCCTAAAAATACAAATATATTTTTTTTTCAAATTTCCGGGTTGTTACAATTCTCCCCCTCTATAAGAAATTTCGTCCTCGAAATTTACCTTATGCAAATAGATGAGGAAATTGAGCCTCCATTGACTCTAATGTCTCCCAAGTAGCTTCTGAGGGACTACGATTACTCCACTGAATTTTGACCATTGGAATTCGTCTATTCCGAAGAACTCGTTCATCTCTCTTTAAAACCTGAACAGGCTCCTCCTCATATGACAAATCAGGCCTCAGCTCTACCTCATCAACTTGAATGATATGATCTGGATCTGGACGGTATCGCCTCAACATAGACACATGAAAAACATCATGAATACGACTGAACTGGGGAGGCAACTCGAGCTGATAAGCAACAGGTCCAACTTTCTTCAAAATACGATACGGCCCAATAAATCGCGGACTCAGTTTACCCTTACGTCCAAATCTCAATACTTTCTTCCATGAAGATACTTTGAGAAAAACCTGATCTCCAACCTCAAACTCGATATCCTTACGCTGCTTATCTGCGTATGATTTCTGCCTATCAAATGCCTCTTTCATGCGATCACGGATCAATCTGACAGTATCTTCAGTCTCTTGAACCAAGTCTGGACCCAAAATTTTTCTATCATGCAACTCTGTCCAACATATAGGAGTACGACATTTACGTCCATACAGAGCCTCGTACGGTGCCATGCGAATACTTGCCTGGTAACTATTATTGTAAGCAAACTCAGCTAATGGCAAGAAATCTTCCCAACTACCA